CCTCTCCCCCTTCCTTCTGTGTGTGTATGGGCATGTGCAGAAGTTTATGTGAGTGAGTGTTGGCCTTCAGGCAACGTACAACCAGAATCATAACAAATATCAGGCAAATCCAGGGTAGACAACACCGCGACAAGGGAACAAAACGATAACTCGAACAACAGTGAACAAATTTAAATCTAAGACAATTTTTATTTCTCCCTAAACCAGACATCCAACGCCATCTAAAAAATATAGGGCTTTCTTCCAAAACATCTCAGCGAGGCAACAATCTCATTTCACGTATGGCCATTGAGAGCAGAAGCAAAGAGATAAAGAAAGGAAGTTCACAAGATTTTGTTTTGTTCTCCTAGATCAGTGTCTCAGTAAGAGAAGAGACACTCGGCACAATACTTCGATTAGTAGTTTTGGCTTTTTAGGAAGCGGGCAATACAAAAGGGAAACAGAAACGACCTCGACACCGTTTTAGAATCTTACCTTTCTTCTTTCGGGCTTGCTGCTTCATAATAATGTGTCTCAGTTGGATCTCTCCTGTTTCTGGTTTTCAACACATATTGGGATGCCACTCTGCCCCTGAGCATACAGGAGGGGCAAAAAGCACCGAGACAAAGAAAACGCTTTGGGAACAAGACAAAAGAAAGCAGGATGACAAAAAAAGGCATGGACAGTGAAACATGAAACTGACTAGCAGAAAAAACAAAACTAGACATGATCAGAGGAGTGAAATCAATCGAAAAGGACGACGGTAGGAAGGAAGAGGTAGCGATGTACAAATATTTGAGGGACGGTCTACCCCAGTTGGATGAATTTCATGAACAGCATGCAATTTGGATCGGAAAAGTTGAAATGACTATTGGAAAAGTTGAAAAGCATCGGACGCATCCAGGGCAGAGAGCCCAAAATATATTTTCCGCCCTAGAACAGGGAATGTGATCATGGTCGTATGTCGAGATCCCTCTTGTGCATACTTGTTGAAAAACAAAACTTTCACTTGCAACTCCTCGGTGGTATTCGTTCACCCTTGGAAGCCAGACCCTCCTTTTTAAGTGTCACCATCGAGATTCAAGCAATCCCTTATGAAGGAGCATTTTTTGGTGCAATTCGATAACGTACACGAGGGTTTGCACGATGGCATAAAATTGAGATTGCAACTAGAGTAAGGACATTTTCAGGTGGAGGAGGAAGAAGGTGTGCAGTGGTTGGCTATGGTGGATGGGTGATGGAGGTGGAGGTGTAAGAAGTTGGGTGGTGCTTAGCTATGGCGTATGGGTGATGGAGGTGGGGGAGGAAGAAGGTGAGAGATGTCGGGCCTGGGCGCCTCCCTACTTCTAAGTATCGATCCCGGACCTTTTGTATCGCTCCAAGGTCCGAATTCTCATAAAAACTCTGGTTTGCAAAAACTCGGACTTTGCAGAAAACTCAGATTTGCAGAAACTCAGATTTGCAGAAAACTCATATTTTGCAGAAACTCAAATTTTGCAGATTTTCTAGCATAGGAGAGGAGAAAAACTCAGATTTTTGTTTGCTGCCCTAATCGACGTCAGTCGGATTTGTAACATTGCAGGCCCTTTGTACATACCCTACTGATGACCCTCCTAGATTTGGGTCCCATTCTGCCGCCGTTTGCCCCTACTTGCCCGTTTTGGGCTTCGGTCGTAGTTCTAAGCGAACAGTTCGAGGAAGCCCATTTCTCGTTTTTGCAGGAGAATTACTCAAGTGGACATGGGACTTTGCAGACTATCTACCTATGCCTAGAACATAGGGCCTGCCCAGTTTCAGCCCCCATTCCGTTTGGTTTTGTGTGGTGCGGGACAAAACAGTGGAGGTCACAATCTCTGCCAGTCAAACCCAGAGAGCTGAAGCAAACGAGATTGGTTAAAGTGGGAGGAGAGCCCGACTTCTGGATGTGTTTTCAATGACAACCTTCGAAGTCCAGACTGGGTGTGGGTTCTAGAAGGGGAGCCAAACCCCAGGGCAAACATGTACCTTTCATCAGATAGTGAATGGCAAACGCTCAAAGTTGAAAAAAAATCAGCAAATCTGAGAAAAAACAAGAAGGCTAGCTTAGGCAGGGGCGAGGGGAGGTACATCCTTACTACTGCAAGAAATCAATGCCGCCTGCTTGGGTCTCTCAGCCTTAATGGAGAGAAGCATCAGCGAGTGTACATGATGTATTTTTCCTTGGCTTGTCAGTGGAATAGGAACTGGACTGAAGCTCCCCAGAATGGATATGGAGCCAGAACCATGAGGTTCTGTTTTGCCAAAAAAAAAAAAGAAAAAGGAAGAGAGAAGGGCAAAGGGTCTGATGATGGGTTTCAATGAAACAGGGGAAATGGCTGAAAGAGAATGGGTGGAAGAGATGAGGAGTAGTAGGGGAGAATGAATGGATGAGGGCAACAATGCCGTTCAGTATTTGAGAAAGGGGAGAGTTTCCATAGGACGAAAACCAGAAGAAGCTGGCATGGATCTCCCCACACTCCCCTTTCCTCTTTCCCGACGAATATATGCCCCTTAGTCCTTTTGAGGCCCTCTTTGACCTTTCCGCGCGTACTTTGATTATCCACAGCCATGCGTGGATGTGGCAGAAAAAAAAAAAAAAAAAAAAAAAAAACACAGAACAAGAAGGGTGAGATCAGTTAGGAGGAGAGGGGGGCCAACGAGAAGCGACGATAGGGGAGGAAAGGAAGCAGCAGTCCATTGAGGAAGATACAAGTCTCCAATAACCCGAGCTCATCTGTGGCCTTAGCGGCTCGCATCCTGTTCTGGAAACAGTCATGGACCAGAGTCATGAACTGCTCCCCATGTGAATCTCTGTGCCCAGATTCCCTGCAAATCCCTCCTCAATTATTTTTCCTGTCGCCCAGTTCTGTGCTGACCCCTGGAGAAACGACGTACCTACCACGGCCACCCAATCCACTGGTGTATCTTTCATACTTTTTTTTTTTCTTCATCCTCATCACGATGAAGGTTGAAACGGCCATCAACAAACTATCTTGGTTCTCCTCCTTTTTTATTTTGCCTATAAGGACAACAGCGGGAATCCTTGTCGCCTTGGGTGGCTTGGTAGGAATGGACAGCACTGCAGTTGCCGCCGTTTTGGACACACAAGGTTGTACAGAAACCTGAGGTTGACTCATACCTACACTACTGGTCATAGGAGGTATACCATAGAGAGGGGCAAACAGTGGGGCTGATGGCACGAGGTCGCTTATCGTTGAACTAGCCCTAAACACCCGGAGTGACCAGTGTGCGTATATAGGGGACTACTCCCATCTGCCCTGATAGAAAACGCCTAAAATTGGGCTGATAACTTGTGTAGTGAGTCCTTGATGGAGTCTTCCTTCCCAGACAAAGAATGCGGGGACTCGTGGATGCTGGAGTCTTCCTTCCCAGACAAAGAATGCGGGGACTCATGGATGCCCCACACATTCTTTGACAGTTTCCTTCCCAGAAACAAAGAATCTAAGGACTCGTAGACGCCTAACACATTCTTTGACAGAACCTTCTCTGTCGTTGCAAGGCTACTCTCATCTATCCTCCGCAACTACTCCTCCTTCACCTCCAGTCCATCTACTAAGGTTTGACGTTCTAATGCTTCTTCGTGCTTCATTTCTATCTGCTGTAGATTCCTCGCTTTCTTTTGATCGTCTGCATCCAGTGAGTACATCTGATGTAAGGGATGCTGGGCCTGGTTGCCAGCATTCTTAAAAAAATAAAAACAAAGGCGCTGGCCCGGGTTCCCTTGATTACAACTAAAGGGAAAAAAGGAAAGAAAGGGGAGTGTGCCTCAGTTGATTGGAGTCAGGGGAGGGTCTGTAAAACACTTGCTTTCTTCAGGTATCGCCGACAGCTCCAGGAAGAAGAGAGGAAATCAGACAGCCCAACGAGGCTGAGAGGAGAATTGTAAATGCAACTTTTGGACAGTGAGCTGGAGCAGAAGGACAGGGATAGGGGTGCAGCAGCAGTAAATCCTTCCTGCCCAAGGAAGTAGTCATTGGTGCTGTCCCAGGTTCTCTCGACCATAATGTCGGGAAACGTGGAGTGTTAAAAAAACAGGAAAAAAAACAAACAGCCTATCTATTGTTGATTTATGTCATGTTCAACAGCAAACCCATACTGTTTTCTTGAAGACTTTTTTTTTTTTTCTTGTTTTACGGAAACGGAAATGTATAATTTGCTGGAAACCATGTCTGGCGTCCCTTACATAACGACTCACTCCACGCTTCCCTACCTATGTTATAGCCGAGGGATCTTGAGACAGCGGCATTGACTACTTCCTTTGCTGGATGGATTTACCAAGGGCACTCGACACCTGTTCACTTTGCCTGCTACCATTTCTGAGGGAGGGTTCTCTTGAAGGCTGTTGATTTTCTATTTTGTTTTTTTCCCGTCGATTTCCCACTGAAGTTCCATACAGCCTCTGTATTGATGATGCCATTTATTTTGTGCAACAGCAAACCGGTAGTGTTTTCCTGAAGGATTTGCTTATTTTTCTTTTCCTTTCTTTTGAGGTCTTGCCAGTGAAGTCCTTTAATATGGGTTACTTGTTCCACAGCAAGGTTGTGGCTTATGCCTGTGTTTCCCCCCCTCCCCCCGAGTGTCATACAACCTATAATGTGTATTGATCGTTTAAGTTGTGTCCAATAGCAAGCCCGTGATCTTCACTGACTGTGGTGGCTTTGACGGTTCAGGTGTCTTTGGCAGAGGCTAAGATTGACGTTGATGTGAAAACAAAGGAGTGCAATTCGTTGTTGGAGGTCATCAGCAGTAGCACAGCAGTGGTGGAGGCAAAGCAAACGGTGGCAAAACAGAAGGAATCAGACCTCTCCCTCCAGAGTGTTCAGATTGCAAAAGAAAAGGTGGAGGCAGAGGCAGCCCTGGTGGAGGCTATGCCTGCGCTCATGGCCGCAGCGGAAGCCCTCAATAGTCTGAAAAAGGAAGAGATCACCGAGATCCGGTCTTTTGCGAAACCGCACATCCTCGTCCAGAAGGTCTGTGAGTGTGTGGTTATCTTGCGCAGCATCAAAGATGTGTCGTGGAAAGGCGCCAAGGCAATGATGGCAGACCCCAGGTTCCTGAACTCGCTCATGGAGTACGACAAAGATGGAATCACTGAGAAACAGTATCGTGCACTGAAGGAGTACTTCAAAGACCCAAAGCTTACGGTGGATGAGTTGTGGACAATCTCAACGGCAGGATCGGGGCTTCTGAGATGGGTTGTGGCAATGATGCATTACTACAATGTGGCAAAGGGTGTGGCGCCCAAACGCCAGGCTGTTGCGCGTGCAGAGAGCAATCTCCGCCTCTCACAGAAAGAACTGGAGAAGATTCAGCAAGAGGTAGCTGACCTCAACACACAGCTCGCCAATCTTCGGCAGCAGTTCGCAGAAAACACGGCTCAGCAGCAAGAGCTCAAGGCCAGGGCAGATTTGATGGAGAAACGCCTAGATGCAGCACGGCGACTGATTGCAGGGCTCGGATCCGAGAGGCAGCGCTGGGGTCGGGACATCGAACAGCTGGGGATTACCATGCAGCGCTTGGTGGGCGATTGCCTCCTCACATCAGCCTTCCTTTCATACACTGGAGCCTTCACATATGATTTCCGGACCCGGATGGTGCATGATCTGTGGGAAGCAGATCTGGTGAAGCGCAGTGTTCCCATGAGTCAACCTTTCAAACTGGTCACGTTGCTGACCAGTGAGGTTGAGATTAGCAAGTGGGCATCAGAAGGACTTCCCTCTGACGATCTGAGCATTCAGAATGGTATATTGATAACGCGAGCGAGCCGCTTCCCTCTATGCATTGATCCACAGATGCAGGCAGTAACATGGATAAAGCGAAAGGAGGGAAAACTTTTGGATGGTCGGGTGAAAACATTTAACGACTCGGATTTCCTCAAGCAGCTCGAGCTCGCAATGCAATATGGGTTTCCATTCCTCCTGGAGAATGTCGACGAATACATCGATCCAGTCCTAGATCCTGTTTTGGAGAAGAACTTTGTGTTGCAGCCTGGTGGGCGAAAAGTCATCAAGCTCGGAGATAAAGAAGTTGAATGGGTGAGTAATACTGACCATTTTACTGTATCAACACTCTATTCTGCCTCTTTTGGTTTCCCAGGAAAGACAGCTTCGTTCTATGTCTTATACAGATTGCAGTCATGGTAGAATATGCTGACATGGCCACCTGCAGTGATTTGAATTCCGTTTGTTTGGACAAAACAAAACAAAACAAAACAAAAAAACAGCGTTGTGAAGTGAAGTGAAGTGAAGTGAAGTGAGGTGAAGCGAGCGGGTCGAAAACGGCGCGTACTGCCCCTGAAAACGGCGCACGTTTGACGGGCTGCAAGTCCTACAATGAGCCGGTCAGGCAGCTGCACTGCCTCCAGTTGTTCAAGGTGGGAATGAATCTTGTGCCATAACTCGGAACAATACAGAGGCCCAGGGCAAGGATGACACACACAAATCGAGATATGGTCAAAAACAGAAAACGAGGAGGGTACAGCACACAGTATGTCTTTTCTGGACATAGTGGGCAGTGGGCAAGGCCACTGGTCCTGAAACCAACATGGCGAAGGCGGAACGCAGCCCGGTGAAGCGCTGCGCTACCCGGCGTACTCGCTGTCCGGAGACGCTCTGCGAGGGTGGGATTTGGGGTGTGGGGCGGAACGATGTTTTCCTCGATGATCTCTAGGTTCGGCCATCGCCCTCAGCTCCGACAAGGAGCTGTGTCTCCCTGTGGAATACCAGGGAGCAGGGCGATTCCAACTCCTCCTACAATAGACATCCTACAACAGAATCTACAAGAGTCGAGTAACGAGTGCAGTGCAGTGTGAACACGACAAAGGGAGAGTGAGTCCAGTACGGGACAGCGGGCACATCCAACAGCGGCACCTCTGGAGGCAGTGGGTGGCCAGCCGGTGGTGGTGGGACTGGTGCTGGGAACTTGGGAGGAGCATGTGAGAACTACTGTTGACTATCTCGACTGGGAGCGTGAAGACCTGAAGTTCTACGGGCGGCGGCGCCACCAATGGGAGTGGGAGTTCCTCTGGTGGTGGTGGGAGCGTCTCCGTTGGAATTAAGGGCGCTGAGTGTTAACTAAGCCACTCTCTAGCACGAAATATTTAGAGAGCATTAACCCAGCCATATTTTTTTACTCCTTATGAGTGGCTTAGTTCATGACTATCGTGCACGATAATATCTGGAAACTAGATGACCCGTTGCGGCTTCGCCCGCAAAGACAGAAAAGGAAAAAAAGCACAAAAGAAAGAAAAAGCATAAGGAACTCCCCTATCATATGCCGCCGAGCCTTTTTTCCCTTTATCTTTGAGTGTTTTGTTTGGGGAGCCATTACCTTCGCAGCATCGTTTTTGTTTGTGATGTGCAAGAACTCTGCACTTTTCTGAGAAAATCCTGTCCATTGTCCCGTTGATGTTTTTGCAGCTAAAGATTCAGATTCAGACTTTGTTTGCTGTGTTCTCTGGATATGTTTGTGATCAACCCATCTTGCATGTATGCATGCCCCATGCTTACTTGTTGAGTTTTTACGTTATGTGCGCAAGTGCATGCGTGTGTGGGTGAGTCTCACTTTGGTGGGCTCGGAAGTCGGCTCCAACTATAGGAGTGACACTGATGTTACGCAGGTTTTGCATTGTATGAATGAAACAATCAGGCATTCAATCTGCTTGGCAGTTGCTCTTCGGGTGAGGGACTTCTCGGGAGTAGCATTGACATGAGAGCATCTTGGAGCATTTCCGGGAAGGCAAAACGCAAAGCAGAAACGAAGTAGCACGTGTCAGAGTCACGTAACGGACAGCTTGGCACAGTCCCCCCCCTTCTCTCTCTCTCACACACACACACACACAAAAAAAAAATAAAAAAAATAAAAAATCAAAAGACAAAAGACATCCTGGCACTTGGCGCAGCTATACCACTCACCACCTCGCCAGCTTCCCCTCACCCTCCTTTCCCCCGTCTATCTCTCTCTCTCACACACACATACGGAAAAAAAAATAGAGAAGAAAAAGACAACAAGCATGATGAACCTTTAACCTCCCCCCCAGTCACC